TCTCTACATGAAAGAACAGGAAGTTGCCACTCACAGAACTTCAGTCTTTTCTGAGTGGTTGCATTCTTCATAAAGGGCAAAGGCAGAACATCAAGCCCAAGTACTTCTCTTGAATACAGGTCTTTCTGCCCACTCTATCAAAAAAATAAAAAAATAAAAAATAAAAAAAGATTCTCCTGCCCAGAAGCCAGACACATCAGAGGAGCTCCATGGGGCACAGTTTTCTTCTCCACCTTGGTCAAGCCATCTATATCAGTTAAGGGGTAAATTCAACTGTGTAACAGAATTGTGCCATCATTATGTTAGTAATTAATTAGGAAAGAAGTTTCAAATAGCACAAAGACATAAAGAAGCCTGCACAAATACAGTATTTCTGCATCTGTGACTAAAGCATAGACACTTAGAAGCAAACTACATATATAATCACTTTTTGGTTTGGGGTGAACCTTAAAAAATTACTCAAGGAAAAAAATCATAAACACTTAGTCATTTAAGTGTTTAAGAGATAACACCAACTTTAACTACTGACCTTGAGAGACTTCCTCCTGTAGAAAAATTAGTATAGGAATATGCATTGTAATTTCAGAATTGACTAAGAAGCTCCAACTTGCTTCTGAGAACCAGTGTCACCACCTGTACCCGGGCAACTGATCACTTTGTTTTATTTTGTGAATCTGGACTGGAATCTAGATTCTAGAATCTCTACTAAAAATTAAAAGCACTAATGAATCACTTCTTTGATGTTAAATAGTTTCTTAGTAATAAGAACTTAGAGATTTCCACTATTTTGTATCTCATTTGCTTTGGATTTTAATGTCTCAGGTAATGATATTGGGTGGCTCAACTCATAAAACCAACAACAGAACCTAAAAGTGACTAGCTATTCATAATCTCTAATTTTTCACAGTCCAACCATGAAATTCCTATCAAGAAAGTCCTAAATAATGTAAAATCTTTTAGGGGGAAAACTTAAGTTTTCTATTTCATTGGTAATTTGCAGTTGACAGTGCTTTTATATAAATTTTCATATTTGAGCTTAAAATGATCAAATTAAAGCTCATATCCTCCATAACTAACTGTAACAATGATATGCAAATTATAGAAATGATGAAAGAAATGTAAGTATCCATTTTTCATCCATTCGCTTTTACATAAATGCTAAAATATTCATTCAGTTATAGTTGTAGGCAATAAAGAAATATTCTGGAAATATTTTTCCAGAATATTCTGGAATAATTCTGGAAATATTTTCTCTTCCATTTTACAATTTTCAGGAAGTAGTTGAATTGTTTGTGATCACTTTGGTTTGCTTAGCAACCTACTTAGAATGTGGAGACTTATAATGGCAGATTACAGACTCTAGTGGGCCTTTTTCTTTTTAAATTTAACTTTTATTTACAACAGTTTTATATTTACAAAATTATTATGAAGATAGCACAGAGATTGACCCTACATGCTGTATCTAGTTTTCCTTTTTATTAGCATCTTATATTCACATATTTATTACAATTAATGAACCAATACTAATATATGCAACTGTTCATTAACATCCATAACTAATCTCCTTTTTTCTGTCTCAGGATTCTATTCAAGAGATCACATTACATTTAATCTCCATCTTTCCTTAGACTCCTGTAATCAGTGACAATTTCTCAGATTTCCCTTGTTCTTTTAAAAACTTGATGATTTTGAGAACTAATTGTCAAATATTTTGTAGAATACCCCTCAACTGAAATTTGTTTAATGTATCCCTCACGATTAATCTGGCGTTAGAATTTTGGGGCAAGAAAGTCCCAAAAGTAAAATGTCACTTTCATCACTATAGCAAGAGTAAATGCTGTCAACATGATTTATCCCTGGTGAAGCTGAACTTAGTCACCTGGCTCAGGTAGAGGTTGTCAGGTTTTTCTGCTATACAGTTGCTCTTTTTCCCCCTTTCCATCTATAGAAGTCGCAACTTTCAGTTCTTACTGCAGGAGTAGGGAGTTTTGTTCTGTCATTGAGGGTTGTTTACCTATGTAAATTATTTAATCAAATAGATACTTTAAAAATTAAAAAGCTGGGAGGGTTGCACAAGTAAAATATGTTGTGAATAGGAAGGTAGGAATAATAAGAAAGTTCATCTGAGGAAGCCGAGGCCTAAGAAAATGAAGATAATAATTGTAGCTAAAGTAAGAGGTAGGTTCACATTTCTCAGAATGAGTGAAGCCTAATGTCACAGAGACATATTACATTCCCTTTTTCCTTGCCCATCCAGTTACTCTGGAAAAGTGAAGCATTTAAACATTTGGAAACTATAATGTGTCAATAATCCTTTTACTTTACTCCTGAGATCATCTCATGAATATAACACACTTCCTTCACTGCCAATGCCTACTCTGTCTCTTTGTCTCCAAACTGCACAGAATGCTTTCCAGGATTCCAGACACAATTCAATGTCCTTTTTGGAAATAGATGTTAGAGGGAGGGCATATGATGGGAATTATCTCTATTTAGAGGAGAAAAATGAGGCAGATTGTAAGTGATTTGCTAAAGATGTTCATAATTAATTACCTCTGACTTCACTATTTAACTAAAAGTACTCTCTCAAACCTCTCCAAAGACCTTCTTGTCAGCACAATACTCTCCTTCCTTATTCTCCTTGATCTATCTTCTGCATTTGATGTTAAATATCCTCTTTAACTGCATAGCTATTGCTGTGTAACAAACTATCAAAAAACACAGTGGTTTGAAAAACTATCATTTATCATTCATTGTTCATGCATCTGCAGAGCAAATAGAGTGTATCCAGGCTAAGTTCAGGTAGATGGCTCTGCTTTTTTTATGGGAACCTGCTAATTAGCTGGGGTCACTACCATTAATCAGAGCAAGTTACACAGGCAAGGGACTGTCTTCAATGAGGCCATAGCTAATGTGTGGCTTCGGGGGTTAAGAATTGGGACTAGTAGTGCAATAATGAAATATATCATATTCTTGCTTCCTGAAACATTCTCTCTCTTTTAAAAAACGCAGTACTGTCTTGAATCTCTCATTTTTTATTTCTTTAATTCTTCTTCCTTTCTCTGCAATACTGCATGTAGGCTTCACCTAACGTTCAGTCTTTCACCCTTGTCTCCCCCAGTGTGATCTTCCTAAGGAAGCGTATGCAGCCAGACTCCTTGGTGCCTGAATGGTCAATTCATTTCCTATTGGGGATTTTCATTGGAAATTGCCTAAACTCATAATGTTTAGCCATATGTTCCATTTAAATCAATGTTTGTTCTAATAAGAGGAGTATATATCTGAAAAAGACCTGAGTCTTTTGATTAATGGCATAAATCTAAATGTAAAAACAAATATCCATTGAAAATTTGCCTTATGATATCTTTAAAAATTAAAGGGGAATATATATGAAAGAAAATAAAAATGATAAGGAGCATTGTTAAGAGCCATGTCCTCAAGAGATTTATTATCTTTTAAAATCTGAAGATCAAGTAGAGTATCATGATAAACATATTTATATATTTGAAAGTGTATGATGTGGGAAAATCTTTTTTTTTCCATGTAGCAAAACTAACTCGAACAGATTTTGGGGGAGGAAATTTTAGTTTGATATAAGGAAAAAATTAGCAAGAAGAACTGACCAGAAACAAAATGATTTATATATCTCTTTTTAAAATTAAATGTCACTTTTCTCTCCTGGAAGGTCTTTATCCCCATTATTTTTCCAATTATCCATCACAATCCTACCCACTCTTCACAACTGACACCAAGCCTTCTTCCCTCCATAAACTCTTCCGTGATGACTCAAATTCTGTCAGTCCTTCTCATGCTATGAATGTTCACCCCTTCCCAGCTAAATTAAAGCTCTTTGCAAGCCTAATTTATATTATAATTATACTAATTTATAATTTCAGGCATGAAACAAAGTACTGAGCTCAGGCATTTAGTAAATTCTTATCAGTTTATTCTTCAATCACAGATTTTCTGACTTGATTAGAATTTGAAACCAGATTGGACTTCTCAGGAATCTGATCATTTGACACTGATTTCATAAGACTGGTCTTCTTATTTTAATGACAACCTGGAAGCAGCAGTAGATTTTGCCATCACTTGACATCCAAGCTTATATTTCCTACTCATCAAAGAAGGATGCTGAAATTAGAGATTTTCAAAGATCTTAGATTAGTAGCGGAGATAATTTGCTGGGTGAAATAGTCAAGTTAATATGCTTTCATTTCTTCATGTTTGGAAGTTATTCAAAACAAAAAATCAACTGGTGAGTGGCAACATATGAAGTAGAGGAATATACATGACCCTGGAGAACGGTCAACCTAGTTTGTATTCAAGTCTGCCTGTTGTCATAGTTACTGATGTGCTCAAAGTGATTTCCCTCCTGAATCACACTCCACAGACCCACAGTGAAAATAAGCTATTCTTCCTGCTTTATTTTTTCTCTATACATGAATCAAAGCTAAAAAATAGCATCAATTGCATGGATGTTTTTACACTCAGAGCAAGAGCTGAAACATAAAAAATGCATAAAATATGTTTAATCAAAATAAGTGCCTCTGATTAAGGTCTCACCTCATTTGTTCAGCATTGATTCATTAAGCACCTAGGTACTGGAGACACGATGAGGATATGACCCAGTTCCTGCCCATAGGATGTCACAGCTCTGTGAGGGAGAGCCACAAGCGAGGGAAAGTGAAATCAATGCTATCATGGAAGCACAGCACAGAGAGCCATGAGAGAGCAGAAGAGGACACCTCATTAAATTTGGGGTGATGATGGGGTCAGATCAAAAGGAAGCATCCATTCTGGGAATCGCAAAACATTATTCCTAGGAAGTTTTGTAATGTATTTTCCATCATTCTGGGTACAGAAACCAGTGTGAGCCTGCAGGCTGCAGCCGCGATGTGAGGAGACTAACTTTGTTACACACAGTGTGCAATCTGTCTATCATGCACTGCCCATCACCTGCTTCTATTCACACGACTCCCTTTCTGCTTTGGCCACAGGAACTCCTTCACAGATATCCTCCGTGCCATCCTACTGTCCCTGGAAGTCCTTATTGAAGATCCGGAGCTTCAGATAAATGGCTTCATTTTAATTATAGACTGGAGTAATTTTTCCTTCAAACAAGCTTCCAAACTGACACCTTCAATCCTTAAACTGGCTATTGAAGGGTTGCAGGTATGTTCAAAGCATGTCCAACACCAAAGTGTGTGACAATGTACTTTTTTCTTAGTGCTGCAACCAAAGTAGTGTTCAAAGTAGTGAACAGAAAAAAGAAAAAGTGGATAAAATTAGTCTGTGAGTGCTTCATATTTTTACTTTGGCTGGATTTGAATATTTGTGTTGTTTTTTAATTAGCCTTCATTTTCATTAATAACTCTAAATTACTGTTACCATGGGCACAAATTACCTACAGTAGCAGTAATGAATAAAGCTTGGAGATGTTTGGCGTAATCCATCTGAGAGTTCACAAAAATTAAAACTAGGAAACATCTGCTTTATGAACATGTTCTACATAGAGGTGGCATGGGGGTTTTCCATGGGTTCCAGAAGCATTTTTGTGCCCCAGAAATGCACCCGGAAGATTTTCGTTTCCCAGAGCGTCAGATGCTGCCGTGTTTGAGCTGAAGGAGATCACTTTGGTGCACACAAAGGAAGCAAATAAAGCTCCTGTTTATATGACTAGCTGTCAGTACTTTGGAGAAGGATTTTTTTGGTATTTTTTTGGGCCATGTTGAGGTTAGGGGTGGCCTGTCTCTGTGTGCCTTTGTACTTTTAAAGGCTCAGTGAGATTGTGGGAGGTAATAATGCTTAGCTTTCTGGTGACATATTATCACAGTGCAACATTAAGGACAGTTTGGGGAGATTCAGAATCAGAACAAAAACTCACTTTCTTCTTAATTCAGTTGGAAAATTGATTCATACAGTGACCCCCCATTCCAATAAAATGCAGTTATGTACAGCTATGTTTCAGTGCACAGGTTCATTCACCCATTACATTCCAGTAACATAAGTAATTGGTAGTCATTTTCTTATATTATGGTCTGTTCATAGTTAGTCTCTGACAAATATCTCCAGGCCACACATAAACCATTTTAGGTCAACTGGGTCTTATTTTAATGAAATTCTCTCCCATTTCCCATGGAAGAAGAGGTAGAGCAAACCTTTCAGAAGAGAAATAGGATTGCCAAATTGGGAGGTCCCATCTTGAAGGGTATCGGAGGACATTCTTAGAGTTGCATTTTCATGGGGAATCATGTCTTGGCTTAAAATCCTGATCATGGCCTTGTATATATTCGACAATCAGTCACTTTCCTTCAGCTCTAAAGCCTTCTCTCCAACCTCCTCTCACCTCAGCCTCTGTAGATTTTATCTCTTTCCTTACAGCTTGTATCAAAGGGAGTTTGAAAGCACATGTCAAGATTATGCACCATGATTATGCTGACCATATATCTGGGAATTTCTGCACAAGCGTCATGTGATCCCATTATTTTTTGTGGTTCAACTTATATGCCTTTATAAGTTTGTTTTATAATTCATGGAGAAAATATCCTTTATATGACCCTGTGTTTTCATATTCCTTTCTGAAAATGTGTGGCTTATGTATGTCCCCAACTAACCTCATTGGGCTGATGTATGTATACTGAGTTAATACACATGAATGTGTTTTTAAAAAATAAAGCTATATGGAAATGTAAGGTATTCTCATGAGAAATATCAGCTCTTTGGTGGGAGAAGGGATGTTCCATATGGACCTTCTCTTGCCATGTTCCAGGGTCCGAGATGAATTCCACAATGTCCTATAGCTCTAGTTAAAGGAGAAGGCGAGATGTAGGAGGCCAGAGTCTGAGGAGAAAAAGTATATCTACCCTTCATTTTCCAGAGCAGTGTACTGGGCTTCCTAATTATATGTTCCTTTTATAAGGCAAGATAAGCCCCCCTGATTGTGGGAAAGCATTAGTACATTCTGGAGCTGGGCAGTCTGGGTTAGAGTGCATCTCTTTCTCCCATCTTTGTCTGCCCAGGCCCTAGAATTCTTGGATGCATAGAGATCCTACTGCTAGAATGAGAAAGCCAATGATCCCAGAGAAACTGGGCCGCGGTATGGCTCCTCCCTTATGGATATAGATGCCCCCATTTTGATGTTTGAGAATGTTGGCTTGGTCATACCAAAGAAGTTTTGGGGACTACTGAGAGTTCTGATCTTGCCCCACAGTGAGTAGTCAGTTCTGGCAACTGATTACACCAGGCTCTCCTCTTTCTGACACCCCCATCTGCTCTGCCAGGGACCTTTCTTCATCATAGAAGTTGTGCCCATCTCCAGGCACAACTATTGTTGTGATAGGAACTATCTGACACCCCCATCTGCTCTGCCAGGGACCTTTCTTCATCATAGAAGTTGTGCCCATCTCCAGGTAGCTATAAACCTCTCTGATTTGTTGAAATAGGAACGAAGCAGAATTAAACCTTTTGTAGTCACCTGTATTGTGCAGAGAGAGAGCCCAAAAAGGTCTCCTTTTGCTAGCTACAAAGACTCAAGAGAAATTCCACAATATACATAAGTGATTTTAGTAGAAAAGGGGACAGCTACTGAGAGCCAGAATCAGTGAGAGAAGGAAAGCCCTGCTCCTTGTTCCTCCCATGTACTCTCTAGAGTCCTGGCAGGCTAGGTGACTGAGGAGCTCAGAGGAGATCACAGTGGAAATAGACCTTCTGTTCTGGTGCAGAGAACTTGCTCTCTCTACTGTCCTGCATTTTTGTAGGGTCAGTTTGAGAAAGTGGACTTGTAAGAAGGAATAATTAGACCACATTTGTGTTCAACCAACTGGTTTGGGATTTCAGCTGTTTGTAGGATTTGTCTAGGATTCCATGTTGCTAAAACCCTGGAGATTTTAGGACCTTGGGGGATGAAGTCTGCCTCTATACACAGGTAATACAACACATCCCATGGGGGAGAAAGGGTTGGAGCAGTCTCAAATAGCTCACTGTCCAGGCAGTGAAAAGTTAAGGTCATTTTTGGTCAGTCTTCACTTTGTACCACAACTTGGCTCCACTGTCCTGAGTTGGTTCTTAGTTCTCCATAAATTCAGTTGTTCAGAAACCTTCAGTTACTAACTGTCATGGGTTGAGGTCCCAGGAAGCAGACAGTGTCATTGAAGATTAACATGCAGGGGATTTGTTAGGCAGTGCTCTTAGGTTCAACATTTGTGGAAAGGAAGCTGCTAAAGAGTTTGGCCGCAGGAGAGTTACAATGGGACTCCGTCATTTCTACTGAAGGCCTCAGGTGTTCTGAAGCTGGGATGACCCTCAGAGTCATCCTCAATTGAGGTCAAGGTCCTAGGCCAGGGCTGGCCAACTATGGCACGCTCCCCACTGCTGGCTGTTTGTTATCACTGAAACACCAGGGGGAGCTGTTGTCTGGGGACTCTCCTGGATGTGCCCCACCTTCTAGTAGTTGAGGCCAAGGAGCACAACATGTACTGCAATAAGCAAAAGACACTTGGAATATCCTGCAGTGCAATATCAAGGATATTCTCTTATTCTGGGTCTGGTCCTTTTCTTGGTTACACACAGTCCAGAATAACCCCAAAATGGAGGTGTCACAAGATGACTGGAACTGGGCTAGCAACTCAGTGGTGGTCTTCTATTTAAGATTGATCAATTTTAATCTCTGTGGTTCAAACTGTAACGATCCTGCCTCTGACAATCATCAAAAAAGTAGCATGTGCATAGAACTTTGATTATGCCCTTAATAAGATGAATTAGTTCATTTTTGTAATCACACAGAAAGCTGCTCTTTAAAGGATCATTGTGATTTTTTTCTTTGCATCAAAGTTACCTTGTGTCAGCCAGTCATGAAATGTTCCTAGTAAATGTACTGTATATCCCTCTTTTTACAGCAGTGTTTTGAGAAAATGTTATTGTTTAGAATATTAAGTTGCCCCAGTTACTTATTCTATGAATATTGCTTCAAATAACTTCTGTTAAAGCATTAAATTTGATAAATCATTTCCTCTTTCCCTTTTTTTTTTTTTTTTTTACCGGGTATTGAACTCGGGTCCTTGCGCTTGCAAGGCAGGCCACCGAACCTCTGAGCTAAACCCCTGGCCCCCTGCCACCATTTTAATACAGCCTAGCAGTATTATTCTTAGTTCTGCTGAGGAATCCTGGCAGAATGAGCAAAACATTGAAAGCATGCTCTTGAGCTTTGCAGTGTTTCCAACACCAATTTCTGGAATTATTTCTTGTAAGTCATTGCAGCCCAGTTTTTGCAGTCGACACATGGATGGTGTGTATCAATGTTCAGCCAACCCAAACACTTAGAAAGCTTACTGTGCTCAAGTGTTTTACTTAGAAAGAGCTATAGCCATGTACCCTGGAGACTATTTACACAATATTTGATTTCTTAAAGTACCCAGATATTTGTTATGGGTTTAAAGAAACTTGCTTTCCACTCGGCAGAGGATATCTAGAACTGCCCCCCATTTCCACGTTCATGTCACTCTGGCCAATCTGAACAATTTATCACCTCGTCAACTTCTTGTTTAAGTTTTGTTGTATGACTTTTTTCCTGTTAAAGATGTTTTCATTATTTTTTTATATCAAGTTTGATTCAAATTCTCCCAAAAGCTTTGAGCTACTTTAGTGGAGAAAGAGGTCCATGTCTTTTCCGATTCTCATTTTCTTAACTTCAATGATGATTTGTCAACTCTTACCCCAGATAGGGGGGATTGGAGTAATGCTCAGAGATTTGGCTAGCTGCCCATCATCTGTCTCCTTAGAGTCTCTTTTTGGTAAATTCTTTCAAAACTTGTACCGTTATATTTGCCCTCCTTTTCACTCTATTTTTTCATCCCCCTTTCCAAAATATATGACATGTTCACTTGCCCTGGGGATTCCGAAGTGTCATATCCAATCCAAAGAAAGAAATGGTTAAACATCTGTGATGTCAGTGGGCAATAAGAATGTTCTTGGGAGTAAATAAACAGATCATGCTGTGATTAGAGACTTGGAAAGGCAAGTTGGGCAGATGCATTTCAATCAGAAGTAGATTAACTTTTGCCCTACAGTCCATATCTCAGACACACAGACATTCTAACCTGTAGTGTATTTACAATAGAAAATATGAGTCAGAAACTTTTCTAACAAAATTATAGTAGAGATCAATGTCATTCTGG